GAGGTCCGTAGGCAGCTCCACCACCTTCTTTTTCTCAGCGGCAGTCGTCCCAGTAGCCACCGTCTTGCCCCACGCCTTGCCCTTGCCCTTGGAAGGCGCGGAGGATCCAGCACCACTTCCTCCAGCCATGGAGAAAACAAGAAAGACTCGAAGAAAGATTTGGGAAGAAGAAAAAAGAAAACTGTAGAAAGGAAGTACCTTGTACTCTTCCTCAGAAAATAACCCTAACAATGACTGGGTTACCGGAAACGACGGCGGAAACAGAGAAAATGGAGACGGAGGATAAACAGAAACGAGAGAAACAGCGTGCGCAAGAAGCTGAAAGAGCGAAAAATGAGTAAAGTGAAATGGGAAGAGGCGCGAGGGAGAGAAAATGATTTCTCCCAAATTCAAAATGGTCACGGCACGTGTCAGCCAAGGGACACGTTTGATGACACATTAATTGAGAACCATTATGACAAAGGCAAACCATCGTTACATAACCGTCACTCCCATTAACGCGCCACTTGCACGTTTTCGGGAAATGACCAGTTGCGACACATGGCATCTCGATAAACAAGCGTACGCGAAAGGTCACTACTCCCTGACGAGCTCGGTCTTAAACTTCTCGACCCACGGTCTTCGAAGCTCGGGGGGCTAGTGTACTATCTGTACCGCCATGCCGAGCTCGAGCTCGGCACAGCTACGTGGAATGACCTCGAAACACGCATTTGGAGACCTCGGTCTAAACGAGATCTGCAATCCAACCAGATCATAACCGATCTCAGGAGATCTTGGTCCAGACGAAATCCACTATCTAATTAGATCATAACTGATCTCAGGCCCAAGGCCCAACGCAACCCTAACTCACACTAAGGTACGTGCATTACTTATACGAGACATCTACTCATACAAACCCTAACTTTAGCATCGGAGTCTCTTTTGCAGGTACCACCCCATCTTGGAGCACAAAGCGTACCCGTGAAGGAGGCTCACCAACCTTACCCAACGGATCATCTCTATCACAGATCTCTGGCAAAAACAGTTTGTATTATTTTTTTCAAAAATTATACTTAGAGCGACTTTTAATTAGTTAATAACATAATTTTTCTTATAATATTTTTGGTTCATTATAATTATTTTCTTATAATGATAGTGTATTAAAATCAAATTCATTATTAAAATTTAAATGTTGTAGACAATTGAAATGGTTATTTATTTTATCATTCAACACCCTTGTTTATAAGAAGATTATTTTTATAAAAATTAGACATGACATTGTATAAATCTAAATATAAATCTTACAAAAAAAAATATATCTCTAACTGTATTATTAGTCTCCTTATTTTAATTTTTGTAATCGTAGTTCATTAATTCTAACTGTTTATATTTAGTTCTCATAATTTCTAAATTGTTAAAATTAAAATGTTCGTTCTAAATTTGATTTAATAATAAATTAACAATAACGTAAAAGAAATATGTTGTACTAATTATTATATATTGGCAAGAAAAAAAAAACATTTAAATAAAAATATAAAAGCCAAAACAAAACAAAAATAGCTCCAAAATGTTAATATACTTAACCTTCTCCTAGACGAATCACAGTGGTTTGAAATCATTATTATAATTTATTAGGAAAAAGAAATTCTCTTTACTTTTATATATTTATTTAAAATATAAAAATAAAAATAATAGAAATTAAATAACAGTGAAATACTATAAGATTACGTTCTCATGATTTTTCTTTTATAAGAACACTAAATAGAATTGTCATGTTTAGGTAAAATTAAAAAGAATATATACTGTATTTATTAGTTTTATTTTTATTTTTACATAAACTGTATTTATTAGTTAACATTTAATTATTCTCTCTTTCTAACTTCATAAGTGTTTTTTTGAGAAAATAAATAAATAAATACTCTGTAAACAACCGACGTGAGTATTGAGGTTTGGCGCAATGAATGTAGGGTTTAAGCTTTCTTTCTGCTTCTGCAGCAGAGCAGAGACGAGCGGAGGTTGAATGAGATAATCCCTCACTCTGTTAGGAATGGCTTATGGATATCGTTATCGTCCTTTCTCTCTTCTACTAACCAGAACCCTCCATCTCTCTTCTTCCATAAACCCTAAACCCTCTTTCTCTTTCTCACTCTCCCACCTTCTCCCCAAACCTCTCTCCACCACCCCAGACTCCAACCCCAAACCCTCTTCCCTCTCCGCCCGTCTCAGCTTCGTCTTCGACCAAATCGACGCCATCGAAAAAGAGCGCTCACAAAAGCACGAAACGCTTCAGCGCATTCGAGCCTGGCGCCAATCCAAGGACACTCCCTCTCCGCCCCCTCAAAATGAAGCCCAGCCGGAGTCGCCACTCTCCGCCGTCGACAGCCCGCCGGAGCCGCCTCCCAAGAAGGAGCTGGAGTTCGTGCACCCGTGGCCGGAGTGGATCCAGTTGATGGAGACGCTCGTGCACCAGAATTACTTCGACCACAGAAGGAGGGATGAGGATAAAATGGTCCACGATTTGGGGTTTGATCCCCCCGAGGTTGCTGAAGGATTCGATTTCACTAACGATTTCAAGAGCGTTCAGATGGCGTGTCTCAATTTCGGGAGGGACCGGTTTGATATTTTGAGGTTTGTGCTATAAAATGATAATTGAGTTTAATTTTTAATTTTTTATGCACTGAAGTCAACCAATCAGAAATCAAGTTAGAATGACTTTTGAAGGTAGTTATTGTAAATTTGTGGTAATAGTTAACAAAATTGTCGTTTTGATTGGTTTCTTTACAGAATAATGCATGTATTATTTTTTTATGTTGATATTGTAGCTATTATGGCTTTGTTTTGTTGATATATATGTCTATGGGGATGTTATGTGTTACAATTTTTGAAAGAGGAGATGATTGATTTCAGGTCCTTGTCGAGGAAGGATATTCAACTTTTGGTTGGTTATGGATGCCCTACTGTGGACAAAAGGGTGGTTTTCTCTGCTAAACTTTTAAGGAAGTATGCTCATCTTGACGAAGGAGATGTAAGTGTAATGCATTTTGTTTGGTGTCGAACATAACTTACATAAGTGTTATTTTCTTTGTTGCTTTTTGAATGGTTGTGTTAACTGTTATTTGTGAATTGTGAAATTTTCTCTGTCTGAGTTCTTTGGTTCCATCTTCGTGGATACAATTGTGAGTGAAGTGGGTTTTATGTTTGGGAGGGGAGGCAATTCAACACTAGTGTACTGTGAAGACATTTAAATTAGTATCTGTATGTCTATGTTTATGATTGATGACAAAGAACTTGGATGACTTTTACTCTGCCAGCATCCTTTTTATCTTTCTCTCAATCACTTACATGTCACCTTTTCTTTGTCAGTCCCCCCTTACATTTCTCTCTTAGTTGGTCTCGTTCTTTGATCCATAGCATATGTTACTCAATATTAAAATGTATATTTTGTATATTTTTGATGAAAAATTCATTGATATCAGGTCTGTAGTTCCTGCAGCTTGAGAAACAATTGTGAAAGGGCGTATCTGCTAACAAACAAAGAGGATGAGGCACGAACTCTTGATGTCATGCGGCTCCTGCTGACTTTTGGTTTTGATCCTGTTGATGGATCAGTCATCAATAAGTCACTTCTAAGGCAGAAGTCTGTGAAGACAGTGGTTCGTAAATTGCTTCATGAGGTTGTCAAGCTGGGTTCAGTTCCCATTGATCCAAATCTCCCTCCTCCAGTGTTTAAAAAACCACCACCAAAAGTGAAACAACCTCCTCCTCCTCCAAAGAGGCGTGTTGGACGGGATGATGTTGAGATGAAAAAAGGGGACTGGCTATGTCCTAAGTATGTCTCTTGAATCTCTCTGATTTACTTGCTATATAGTAATCAGTTTTACCACCTGGCTGCTGTCAGTTTCAAGTGAATTTACATTTGAAAATTTTCTATTTTCAACCAATTTATTATGCTGAGTACTCCTTTTAAGCCTAGTGAAATTGATTTTTGGGCATACACCTGATAATAGTCTCTTTTTTTTTTTTCACTTCCTCCTGGTAATTGAATATATAGGATTAGACTAGGAAATCAATTGTTTATGAACAACTCATTATTGGATGACATCAGCATATTGTATTTTGGATTTTACTATTGTTGACTGAATGTGCTGCTGAACACTTAGGTGTGAATTCATGAATTTTGCAAAGAATACGGTTTGCTTACAGTGTGATGCCAAGCGTCCTAAGAGACAGTTGCTGCCAGGAGAATGGGAGTGCCCCGAGTAAGTTTAAGTCCTTCATTTCTTTGATTTCATTTCATTGTTCCTGCACTTCTCCCTCTTCTCTCTCTCTCTTTCTCACGCACACATGCACACACACAGAGGGCAACTATAATAATCATATCTGAAGTTCCGGAAAATTATGTTTTGATAAAATTAATACTAATAGCATGCAAAATTTTATTCATCAAAGTTCATAAGGCTTATGTGACCCCTGAAGCTTCTATTTCTAAAATGTGTTTGGCTTGACTTGTTTATTTATTACCTGGCAGATGCAACTTCTTGAATTACAGGAGGAATGTGGTATGCTTTCATTGTGAGTGTAAACGCCCACCTGATGAACTTCTGGAGAATAAAATGCAAGATAGAACACACAGTTCCAGACCTATGTTAGATAAGATGCCCAGCCGACAAGAGGTTTCCAATGCATGGAATTTTGACTTTGATGACAATGAATCAGATGGTGCAGATGTAGCTGCTTTTGAGTATGCAGATACTCGTGCTATAAATGAAAATTTCTCTTCAGATAATAATGATCGACATGGGAATCATAGGGGGTGGGAAGATAATTTTGAGAAAAACAGAATTGAAGGGTCCCCTGAAGGAGAATATAGACCTAGAATGGGGTTTGATGATTTTGAAGATGAGGATGATATAGATAGTTATGAACTAGAAACTACTCAAAATAGTAGTAGAAGAACTGAAACATCTATAAATAATTTCTCTGAAGCTGAAAACTTTTCAGAATCAGAAGATATTGAAGGCAGTGATGATGAAATGCATGCACGCCATAAAACAGCTTCTGAAAGAAGTGTACAGTCCCGGTCAATTCGCAAAAATACATCTTTTTCAAGATTCAAGGATGATGAACATGATTTTGTTACAGATGAACAACTGTCCGTCCTTTCCAACTTCAAATCTGGGCACGTTTCTGCTGCTGACCAAAAAAGAAAAGGCAGAGGATCAGCCAAGAAATTAAGCTTTGGTTCTGAATCTGAGGAAGACATTAGTGCTGGCTTATACTCTGATGAGGATGAGGCATATTCATTCAGAAAAAATAAAGGGAACAAATTTGATCCATCCAGACAAAATAAGGGGAATAGACATGATTCTGGGAGAAGCAGCTTTGCCAAAAACCGGAAATCTGGATCTATTGGTGGTCGCCAAGCAAATATGTTCAGTTATGATTTTGATGGATCATCCCAACAGTCTTACAGGAATGGTAGGGGTTCTAAGCGAAATGACCGAGGTTCTAAGGGAAATGATCGTTGGAAGAGTTTTGATGATTTTGACCGGGGTTCTAAAGGAAATGACCGTTGGAAGAGTTTTGATGATTTTGATGGTCCGTCTCGACGATCATATGGTGATGGCAGAGGGTCCCGAGGAAACAACCGTAATGGATCATCCCGGCAGTCATATGGGAATGGCAGAGGGTCCAGAGGAAATGACCGTCATCGGCATAAATTTGAAGACAGGGAGCATGGCACAGGACAATTTAATAAATATAGTGTGGATGAAAAGGGATTTGAGGAATTTAGAAATAGTAGGCGTGTAATTGAAAGATAGCGACGCAACTCCATGAACAAAATTTTGTTTTTCAGTTCGTCGTTGCATATACTGCTGATTGCTAAACTTAAATGTGGTACAAGCCTCCAAAGATCAGTCAGTATCATGATATCATTTGATGTTAAAAATACTATTCATTTTAACCATTACACTATTTATTATGTTTATTTTATTATTTTTGCATTATATTTCAAGATATTCATAATCAAATATTACTGGTTTATTTTATTTTTACCATTATTCTTTAATATAATACTTTAAATGTAAAAATGAAATAAATATAAGAAGTTAGAAGTTAGTGTTTTTAAAAATGCTACTTTAAGTAATGTCTCAAAATATTTAAAGTTAGTATTTGTTGGATCGAGCGCTTACCACTAGGTCAAAAGCTATAGCTGATAGTCTGGGTGTAACTCTTTTTACTTAAGAGCGCAGCAGCCCAAGCGCCATGATTCGACAGTGACTTGGCCCACCTAGCCTCCGCCACGGGACAATTGATGCAACCCGCAACAATCTCTCCCTCAGCAATTGCCTCGCTGAGTATCAAACTCATGACCTTGGCTCTGATACCAATTGTTGGATCGAACGCTTACCACTAGGCTAAAAGCTATAGTTGATAGTCAGGGTGCAACTCTTTTTACTTAAGAGCGCAGCAGTCCAATTCGACAGTGACTTGGCCCACCTAGCCTCCGCCACGGGACAATTGATGCAACCCGCAACAGTATTTTTTTTTTATCAAATACGATTAATAAAGATTAAACAAATTTCTCAACTAGCACAAAAAAAAAACTTGAAACTAACTAAAATAGTTTGCGAAACAAAACAGGATATTACAGAGAAAAATTTGCTAAGACACAAGAGTTAAGATTAAATTGTGAGATACATTATTGTTTTACTTAAATTCACCGGAAACATAAATGTTTTCACAATAAAAAAAAAATATATATATATATGGAATAGACGCTACATATCAAATATGAATAACTTTCATATAATAAATACTGATTTCACATTTATTTTCAATCAAATACTTGCATTAATAATTATAAGAATATCGTTTTAATATTATTTTTTCTCTTAATTTCACCTACTAAGGTATTTAGCTTACAAATTTTCCTTTTTTTTAAGAAAAAATAAAACATGTATATCAATAGGCTAAAGCGTAACATAATTTATTCAAAATATTTTATCTAAATAGGCTAAAGCGTTTATTCAACAATTAATGATCACAAAATATTAAATTATTTTAATTTCATATATAATTTACTAAGTTTTGGATTAACTATTTCTATTCGATTTGAGCAAAATTATTTTTCATAAAAAAAAAACTATAATATCTACTAAAAGCAAAATAAGGCATATACATTTTAAATTAAAAAGGAAAAAAACACAATGAGTATAATATTTCCAACTTACAGGGGTTTAAAACCACAATAACTAAAAAAAGTTGGAAAGAAACTTTTGGAATGTTCCGAGTATCAAATGTTAAAATGATAGTAAGTTAAAATGTTGAATTAGGCGCGAAAGCAGGAGCGGTGAAGCGACACATATAAAAGAAACAATGGCGTGATGTGATGGTGCATTCTTCCCTCCCTCACACTCACTGCAAACAAACTTTCTAAACCATTTCGCGGCAACTTCTCTCTCTAAACCCTGCCACCTCTCTGTCATCCAATAAACCCTAAACCCTACCAATGGTAAGCCAATTTCACTGTTCAATCTCTGATTTAGAATTTGAATGTAAGGAACAATTTCGAGTGAGCTTCCGTCTGGCCGTTTCTTGTTGATAATGTTGCTTTTCTTCCAAGAAACGGTTTCTTAGTTTTCTTTTGCTCTTGATAAAGCTATCTTGCTTCTTCTTGATCTTTTATTCGATAATTTTTTTTATGCGTTTATCTTTCTATTTTGCATTATTGATCATCTCGGAAGCTGAGTTGTTACTGCATTGTTTATTTTATTTTATTTTATATTTTTGTTGCTGATAGGTAAAAAGGATTTATGGCACCAAAGAAGAAGCCTAGAGCTACGAATAAGCCGTTATCAATTTTGGAGGTTTCTCATGAGGAAGATGAAGCTGGCTCTAGTAGGCAACGGGTGCGTATTGGTTAGGTAGCGTTTCTGCTTTTTAAATTGAGATATTGTAGAAAAGCATAAAATTGAGATAAAATGATAGTTATTGGGTTTTGTGTAATGTGTAATGTTGGTGTTATTATGGGTGTTGTTCACAAATTTCACTTGACAAGAATCTGTCTTATATGCATAACTTTTGTTGATTCCAGTCCATTTCTCTGCTTGCTCTAAACAGTTTTTTTTTTTTCTCGTGTTTAAAGTTTGACTTTTTGAATACTATTTAATGCGCTCATTGTGAAGAAGAAAAAGTTGTCTGATAAATGGGAACCTAAATGGAACGAGGAGGAACTAAAGCAGTTTTATGAAGCGTACAGGAAGTTTGGTAAAGACTGGAAGAAGGTGTGCTTCTGTCTGCTGTTATTCATTGGAAACTTGTGGCCGGTTGTACTTGCTTTGGCTTCCTATTTGTTATGATGACCATCTCACCTTAGTCATTAGAAGGTTTGTTATCATCCTGCACCCTTATTGATTTATTTTGATTTCCAGGTGGCTGCAGTTGTAACTAACAAATCTGTCAAAATGGTGGAGACTCTTTACAATATGAATCGGGTAAATTAATACTACAGTAGCTTAGTCTGTAGCTACATTATATGAACCTTATCATTATGTACTGTCTTTAGTTTCAGAATTTCAGTGCTATTATTGTGTGGATTCATTTTTTTTAATCTTGACTGATTTGTCTAAAATTTGGATTTTCTTTTGTGGAAACTGATTTATTGATGTTTTGTTTATACCTATGGATTCTCAGGCTTTTGTTCTTCCTTCTTTCATTCTCAATATCCCCTCTACCTATTGCTTTTTAAATCTTATTAGAATCTATGCTTAATAAGAAAGTGCAAGAAAAGGATTGAGTGTAGAGAAAAACCATGGTGTATTCTTTGTAAGTTTGAGTATTTTTCATTGTTTACTCATTTAGTTTTATAGAGTGTTTTTCCCCTCTTTATTAAAGATAATTGTTTATAAAGTTTTCTTTGTTAAATCTTGTGTCCATCTCCTTCTTGTTGTATTTGCTTCTCTAGTTTTCAACTGATTTGATCTGTTTCTCACATAATATAATTCATATACCATAATTCATAACAGTGAATGTACTTTGACGAGTTCCGGTATTTATAGAGTTGTATAAACAGTTGGAGATATTGTCTAATTAAGGTTGATGTCTGTTACAACAGTTTAAATCAGACTTTGTTACGAAAGAGAACTAGAGACAACTATCTGTTTTCATTATTAGAACTTACAGAGGGACCAATGCACATATAACATATCTCTAACAGCTCACCTCAAACTCAAGGTAGATGAATCAACTGAAAATGATCAAACACGTTGAGTTTTTCTTACAAACCGCAGATCTGAGTTTGGAGAGATCTTGGTCTGGAACATCTGTTATCTGATCTTTAGCTGTAATATGAGAAGTAATTGGTCTCTTGTTCAAGACTTTCTCATGAACAAAGATAATGTCAAGCACCATATGTTTGGTGAAAGTATGTAGAATTGGATTATGGAAAGGGGGAATATACACTAATTGTCTGTAAATGTAAATGGAATCTTGGATTTTGGTTCAGTGAGTAGAGTCTGAATCCAACTGCTAGTTGCTTCTTAGACCACCAACTACCATCCTTGAACCTGTAATTTAACAACTCTCCAAGAGGCCACAACTAAAGCGGGCTAAGGGTGACCACAACTTAGGTGGCTTTTCAACACCTTCCAATGATTTTCTGGTGGTTGAGACATAAGCTGACACCTTGTTGAGACTGAAGCTGGTTTCTGTCCTCATAGCAGTTGCATACTGAAGAGCAACAACAATGGTTGTCTGCTGACCAAGATGTACTGACTAATGATTACACCCCCAATAAAGCCCCTCATTTGTCTATAAGCTTGAGCTAGTTTGAATATTAAGTCCACACTTACTCTCAAAATTTCTTTCATCTATGTATCATGAACTAACATACTAAATTTGTTTAGCTTTTTTTTTTTTTTTCTCAAGTGTCATTAAAACTTCAAGTTGTAATTTACAGGCATACCTATCTCTTCCGGAGGGGGTAGCTTCTGTTGTTGGCCTAATTGCAATGATGACAGATTACTATAATGTGATGGTATGGTCAAAGTTAAGTTTTGAGCTAAAATTTGATGTTTTATTATGATTGTGGTTGTCTAATATTTCTGTAGTTGTTTTCTGTTGAGATATGATTGAGATATTTTCTCCTTGTAAAATCTATTTCCTTATATATACTTCTGAATTCTGATGTAATCAGGATAGATTCAATCCCAATAATCATGGGATTCCATTGTACAGATTTGTTAATATAAATATACAAACAAAGAGCTAATCTCATGCAATTGAGTACCAATTTTAGTCCCAATTGAAGTTGGTATAACTATGCCCATTTCTGTTGTTTCTGTGGTTTGTAGAGGAGGGGATCTGTATTGTTTCCTTAGTTTCTTTCATGTATTGCCTGATTCGGAAGGCATCTGTCAAGGGTCTGTTAGAGAATCCCATATCTACCTCAAATATTGGCATGCGGGATTATTGGGGGGTGGTTTATATGCCTATTTGCAATTTCACTTAACACCAATTGGTTTTAAGATGAAATCTTACATTTTCTATTTGGTAGGAGTTGTTTTTCTCTGGAAAAAAATCTGAGTTGTAAAAGCAGCTTTTGGTGTGAAAAATTATTTTGCAGAAGCAAAAATTTCCAGCTTGCAGAAAGAAAGATGGAACTTTTATGCCCAAGACAAAACTAAAAAAATGCTGTGTTTATCCAATGGCATACCCTTACAGCATAATATATCTGCTGTTTTTCCTCAACAACTATGAAGCTTGACGTTTCAAGTGTTATAGTTCATGTTCATGATAGGATTTTCATCTTTATTAGTTTGCCAAGATCCAAGATTGATTGATGCATGGAGAATTTTGTTGGAAATTTTGTTTAGCTTTGCTATTTTGTGTTCAATATTTGTTTTATTAGCACCAATTATGTGTTTCTGAAATTATTTTTCTGGACTGGAAATTTGCAGGAAGACAGTGATAGTGAAAGTGAGAGCAATGATGTTCGAGGATCTCAAAAACCTATTAAACAAAAATGTCGCAAAAATCAGCTTAGGGTCACTAATGATTCTGTCCAATCTCAATCAATTGCTTTCAATGAAGGTTGCCTTTAGTTCTCCTCCCCTGTTTGTTTATGATGAAGGGAAGTTAGCTTTCCTCTAACTGACTTTTTTAATCATTTTTGGATTACTGAAGCAGAACTTGTATGCTTAAAATCATTGCAACTAGAAATTAATAGTTAAGATGAAAGACAGCAAAATAACCTAAAGAATGACTAATCTATAGCTCAATGTCCCTCTCCCAGCCCCCTCACCCCAAAAGGAAACTACATAAATATTCTCATAAAAGATTTACATAATATAACTTGGACTTTATTCTGGTATCAGTATAGCACTACCGATATCTAAATCAAAGTCACTTGACAGAATGGTTGCAATTATGCAGTGTTTTAATCATTGTGCCTGTTGTCTGTAAGGTGTCTGTTTGTTTGTCTTCAGTTAGAATATAATCCAGCTGATGCCAAGTTCTATCAAGAGAAAATTTATGCAGAAATCTTTATGCATTACTTTCTTGTTATAGTTTGACATTTTTCACTGTGTGAAAAATACTTGTAATTATTATTTTTAATTAAATAGTAGCACTGATAAAACTGCTGGACCCTTTGTGAACTCCCCTCCCTTCCGATGCATGTTATTTAGCCATTTAGGTTCGAACATGTAGCTTGAATACTTGGTTTCAATTTTTTTAAACTCAATACATGGTAATATGTTTTTATCATATGTAACATTCTACATTTGATTGCGATATTGATGATGTTCAACAATTAATCAGGTAACCGACCACGGGCAGTTGGGAAAAGGACGCCTCGTTTCTCAGTTGACTACTCTTATAAGAACAAGGATAGGGAAAATAATGTTTTGCCTAATGAAAGAAACCCAAAGTCAGAGTTTGGTGCTAATGATGGCGAAGATGCGATTGAACTTGTACGTATTTCGACTTTGGCATCAGCTGAGGTTGCACAAGGAGGTGACTGTCCCAGAGTATCTCAAAAGCTGCCATACAAAAGAACAAAGCAGAAAGTCGCTCCTGTTCAGAGGGGGCAAAGAATGGTATTTAACTGCTCTCCTGCAAGTTTTGCCATTAGCTTGTTTCTTTGGGGCCATATTGTTGCTTCAAAAGATTAATTTGGATTTTGGTTTTGTGAATAAACATTTAACTTTCAAATATAAGCTTGTGGCAACTGGCAAGCTTTCTTGTGTTCATACTTTGTTATGTCACATGTTTTCGATATTTGAATTAATTATATTCTAATTTGTCAACTAGCACCAAGAGTCTGAGATAGTTCCTGCCAAGTTTTATGATGCTTCTATTGATGAAGAGTGCTTGGAAGATAGAATAGAAAGTAGGGGAGCTGAAAAAGGTGAATGTGCTAGAGATACTGATTCCTTATTGAACATGGAAGGCATAGGCACTGTTGAAGCTCATCAGAGAGGGAAAAAGATTCATGGAAAGAAGGAAAGAGCGGAAACTGTTGGAAACCATCTTCATGATGGTGGAGAAGCCACTACATGTGGAGGTAAAAGAAGCAAGAAAGTTTTCTATGGAGGTAATTCTTTCGATACGAATCTGTGCAAATTGTTTTTAAACCATTAATTTTTAAGTTGCTTTTCATCTCTACACCTTGGAGTAAGAATAATGGTTGGAATTTCAAAAATTGAATTTTTTCCTCCACATTTCTCTTTAGAGACATGTAAATAATTGTTGTATCTGACAGATAAAAGCCCTTCCTGGGATGCTTTCCAAACCTTGGTTGATCTGTCACTTTCTTTAATGATACCAACACCCGAATCTGGTAAGAATGGAGTCTTCGGTACGTGTACACACACCAATAGAGATTTCATTATGCATTTGTATTAATTCAGTTAGTTAAGATATATTCATCTCAGTTCAGTTCATCTAATAACCCACTCTGCATGATAGTTAAGATGCTTTCCAAACTTTGGTTGATCTGTCACTTTCTTTAATGATACCAACATCTACACCAGAATCTGGTAAGAATGGAGTCTTCGGTACATGTAAGAGATGTGTACACACACCAATAGAGATTTCATTATGCATTTGTATTAATTCAGTTAGTTAAGATATATTCGTCTCAGTTCAGTTCATCTAATAACCCACTCTGCATGATAGTCAGAGCATGTGTAACTCCAACACAAGGCTGAAAGTATGAAACATCTATTTTCCAACTTTTTAACATTGGCTTAATTAATTGCACTTTAACCTCTTACTTCATATGATTTGGAATCAAAAGTTAGCACATTTTCTTGTTCAACTTAAATTCCATGAATTTCTTGATGAAAATCTACTTGTTGTTAGTTGCTACTCTGAGAAGTGTGCTTTACCTGAAGGCACATCAACAAGCCAAAACAGAGAGAGAATTAAACTTCCGAGTCTTAAACAAAAGGTCCATCATGCAGTCCCTGGAGTTGGTTCATCAACTAAACTTAGAAGTAGACGTAAGACAATTTTACAGAGATCATTCACACGTAAAGAGAAATCTTCTGAGAACATATTGAATAGTGAACCTAATAAATATTTGACCCTTGTCCAAGATAGGGCATTATTGTTAAAGGTAAAAGCTTTCACTCAATTTAAATTGATCTAGCATTCTAAAGCTCTGGAAGGGCATTAAACTTTTAAGTTGGTATGTATCAGGAAAAGCTTTCTGTTTGCTTGTCGTCCTATATGGTTCGTAGATGGTGTATGTTTGAATGGTTTTATAGCGCAATTGATTATCCATGGTTTTCCAAAAGCGAGTTCACGGAATACTTAAATCAAGTTGATCTAGGGAGAATCCCAAGGCTAACTCGTGTTGAGTGGAATATCATAAAATGGTATGAAATCCAGTTGTGGTTAGCATGATCTACTGCTGAACCTTGCAAACAGTTATAAATAGGAAAGTGCATATTTGACATTCCATTTACTTGTTTCTTGCAGTTCCCTTGGCAAACCTCGCAGGTTTTCTGAACACTTTCTTTATGGAGAAAGACAAAAAGTTAAACTGTACCGGGAATCTGTTCGGAAATATTACAATGAACTGTGGACTGGCATCAGAGATGGACTTCCATCGGATTTGGCTAAACCATTATGTGTTGGACAAAGAGCGATTGCTTTCCACTCAAAAACAAGAGAGATTCATGATGGGAGTGTGCTTGAAGTTCACCATGACAAGTACAGTGTTCAGTTTGACTGTCCTGAATTGGGTGTTGAACTTGTCATGGTAACATGGTCTCATATTAGCATATGCTGATTTTTTGTTTTAAAATATTATATCCCTTTTCGATGAGGTAGTATCAAATAAGACCAATATTTTCTTCCTCGTCATGTATAAAGAAATATTTATATGATATTAAAAATAAAATTGAAGATTATTGCTGATTCTGGTCAGTTGATCAGATTCAATTAGAATTTATTGGGATTTAGGAAGTATTACAAGAAATAGTTTTTTTGGAGTTTGATCATTTTCCCTTAGCTAGGTCCTAAAACTTTATACCCAGCACACATAGACAGATACTATCCTGATTTTTAGGTCCTAAAATCATGGGTGAAGATACCCAGTATATATTGTAGCTTCCTATTGCAATGGAAATTAGCAAATTCCATTATCTGATCCTGTTGTAGTCCCATTTTTTTTATTATTATTTAACTTGTTTATTATTTTCTTGGCTGTGTGTGTATTATTCAGACACCCAGTTTCCATATTTGAGCATTAATGTAGTTCAGCCTATATGTTAAACCCATGTACAGTTTCATAATCAAAAAATATAATTATCATTTTCTCCTTTTCAAATCGGTACCAGAGTTCCTAATGTGGGAGACTTTCCTTCCGCAAAACCCTAGCTGCCTCCATCACAATCACCATGGCAGATGCCTTCATTTTGGCAGACTTTGATCTGTATCTACCTTCATGGTGCTTGTTCATCTTCTTCAGCTGCTAGACTCGGCACAGTCACTGTCCCCACCAGCAGATACGCAATATGTGGCCTATTTGGTCACTGAAGACTCATCCCAACCACCATCACTTCTAGAAAGAGAACTGGCATTCAGAAGGGGGTGGGTGTCTATCCATAATCTATGGAAGTGTATATCACTGCAGATCATGCAGGATCAGCCATTGATAGGAGGTAAAGCTCTGGCTATTGTATGTTTGTAGGAGTAAGAAAGAGTTTAGTTGCTAGATCAAATGTTGAATCTAAGTTTCGATGACTCAAGAAATAGGTGAACTGTTATAGATGAAAATCATGTTAGACTAATAAGTTCGCTATGGAGGTCCTATGAAGCTATTTTGTGACATAACATAAGCCATTAGTTATTTATTCCACATAACCCTGTCCTACATGGTAGGCTGGGGTACATTTAGATTAACACTTCATCAGAAAGAAGCTTGATAGTGCAATAATAACCACTAAACATGTATCCCTTAAGAATACCAGTTGGCGGACCACTTGTCAGGACTGCCCACAAAGTTCCTTCAAGATCTTGGTAGCTGGTAATGATAAATTTCCTTTCAGCCGCCAGAAGGGGGTAGTGTTGTATCCCCAAATCATTGTACATATATAACTTGTGTATTATTTGAGTAATATATATTATTTAGATCCCTAGTTTCCATATTTAGGAGATTTTAACATGTAGTTCAGCCTATGTATGTCCATGTCCATTATTGTAAAGAAGAAATAAAATTATTATTTTCTCCTTTTTTAGTGATCTTAATGGCATCAAAGTGTTCTCAAACACAAAATTCATGAAAATCTTGTTATTGCTTTCGACAGCAATGAAGTTATCTTCAATCCCTAATGCCCATCACTAGGCACAATCTTTATGGGAAAGATTACCACCAGCGGTCTCAGTTCATCAACAGTAAAGGCAAAAAGCAAAATGGAATGCTTTTACCGATATAGACGAACTCTTCCAAATCCAATCCTAAATACAGGTAGTGGAAGTCCAAGAACCATGTGACCATGTCATGGTGGATCAACACCATGAACCAAGAATATGGTCAGAACTTTATGTTTTATTTAACTACAAAAAATCTAGAATATTGTTCAGGAATTGTACTTTGAATATAATAATACACCAGAATCTTTTAAATCAAAGATATTCTTCATAATTTACAACAAGGTGAAACTCGCAACACTTTTTTACAATGTGCTCCGTTATTACTAGCAACTTAACATGTCTGAATCTATTAGTTGTTGCTGCCAAGAGGTAAAAATACCTATAATAAGTTTGTGGAGGAGAGAATATTCAAATTTTAAATAGCTCTTAACGAAGAACTTGATGGAGTTTGATGAAAGATTCTTGGGACCAAACCTGAATGTTTGAAACTCGTCTTAATTGTGGTCACCCTTAACCTGTCTTAAATGTGTCCTATCGAAGTTAGTAACTAGTGTCTCAAAAGAGGCAACCTATGGAGGGATTGTTGTAGTGTGCAGCCTCTGGGATGTTGGGTCTCGAGGGGTTGAGATCCAACATCAACTAAAAATATGACCAACATACTCCTTATAAGCTTGTGAAATCCTCACCTTAAAAATTGGTTGTGCAGTTGAATTAGGCCCTACACTCAAATTTTAAGAAGGCGTCAAAGTCTATCCTTCATTTATTGGACCACTTCCCACTTGCATCGCACACTCCAAACCTATAGCCCTAGGCACGAGGGGGTGTTAGAAAGTTGCTTTAAATGTGCTCACCCCTAGCCTGCCAAGCTTGCAGCCTATTAGAGTTAGCTGGCAGTGTCTTGAAAAGGGCAACCTACGAAGAGACTTGCTGGAAGAAAGGCTAAGTGAAGCATTATAGTCACACAGGAGACATATTGGAACCAACTAGAAACCCATTAAGCTTATATTTGACCAGGGTAGTCAAGGTTACAATGTTCATTGTAATCTTTCTATACAATATTAGTGTCTTGGACATCCTGCAAAGACTAAAGAGGTAATGACCCTTAGAAATAATTGACTTCTAGGATACTCTCCCCCTAAAGTTTAGGGTTGACAAAAAAGGATATTGTTTCATGAAATGTAACATCCGTGTTAATACAAAAACCTGATGATCCTGGGGTGATAAAACTTGTACCTTTTTTTTATTGTAGGGGTAACCAATAAATACTCATACTATGGCTCTTGGGTCTAGCTTTTCCACGATAGAGAATATGAGAATGAACAAATGCAACACCCAAACACATGACATGGGAGACTCAACAGTAATGGAGAAGCAAAGAATAACATGTTTTTAACTGGACTAATACCCTGTAATACATGAGTGGGTAATCTGTTAATGAGTTAGGTGGTAGTCTGGACTCTGCACAATTTCTCCCTAGTAGACATTAAGAATAAACATTTGAAAGAGTATAGCTCTGGTGACCTCAAATAAGTGACGATTCCTTCTCTCTACAACCTCATTTTGTTGGGTTTTAATTATAGGTTAATTCATGGATAATAGCTTGGTCTATAACAAACTTAGAAAATTCAATTTTAACATATTCAGTTTCATTGATTGATTGTATTCTGCTCATGGACTTGCCAAATTGATTTTAGACAAGACGAAAAAAAATTGACAAATATTTGATAAACATCAAGTTTTTGATAAGACGGAAACTATTTATCGGATTCATAAGGGAAGTTAATGTCATACGAGTATAATCATCAATAAAAGTTACAAACCATGTGGTACTGAGATTCAATTAGGATTTATTGTGATTTATTCTAAATTTCTGAATTAGGATTTAGTGCAATAGTGTTTGGGATTGTGATTCTTTCTTTGTTTAGCTAGGCTGTTTAATTTCCTTAATGTTAGTAGTATTACGATATTGTCCTATCCTGATTCTAGGCACTAGATTTAGTATCAAACACATAATATATATTGTAGCTTCTTATTGCAAGATATTAGCAAATTCCATAACTGATTCTTCAAAACTCTACACTTTTTCTCCCTATTAAATTGAGGGGGAAAAGTGACATATTATTTGTGAAAATGAGAAAGTTGGTTTTACATTTACTATGTGCTTTTAATGAGTGGAAGTTTGGGTGCAGGACATTGATTGCATGCCTTCAAATCCGTTGGATAATATGCCAGAAACTCTAAGGTGGCAGTTTGGTTCTGGTAATGTCCCTTGTATGAGGGAAAAAAAAGACATGAAAGAAAAATCACGTTTTGGAGGCTGCATGACAAGTGCTTCAAGTGGACTTATGGAAAAGGCAGCCTCATCTTCAAGTACTATGGCTAAGCACAAAAAGGTTGGGCTGCTTATAAATAAAAATTATCAAAGTTCAATCTGTACTCTCTGAATACTGTGTCCCTCTAATGCAATGGCTATTCCTTTTTGCTCCCCTATCCCTCACCCTTCCCCCCAAAATAAATATTTTCTGGTGCTTATGCTTTGCTTTTATATGTAACATTTTTACCTGATCTCCTGTTACTTTCTCTCACTAAGTTTGGCAGGATAGGATAACAAAGGATTACAATTGTCATAGAAAATACAGTTACATTTTCTATCTGAAATCTATCATTACAAGTTAAAACTGTCTGTTTTGACATGGAAGCAACTTACGGTTTATTATTTTATTTTCAGGTTTCTAAACCGGTGCTTCATTTGAAGCAACGTAATACTTACTTGAGAAACTCTCAGCCACCACGGATGATAGATGGTTCTCTGGTACAAGAGTTCCCATCAAGTGTCGAAATTATTAAAGAATCCATTCTTAGAGCACATGCTATGGTGGATGCTGCATTTAAGGTTTGGAGGGTGCCACCTATGCTTTCACAGTAATTATGAATTTTCGCAAACAGAATAACATTAATTCTTAGAATTTGGGCTGAGGGCCTAACTCAACTCCAAGAAAGATATTTTTCATATCTCAACAAAAAGTATGTAACAAATTTGTTCAAGGTAGCAAGAGTCAAGAGCTTGTAAACTTTTAAGTATCCCCATAGATTTGAACCTCAAATTGGGTTTCTACGTATTTATAAATTGATTCAGTTCTGAACAAATGTATTTTTGGCCTAAGCTGCAATCATAAAATGATGCCACCAGACATAAAGTCAGATGATCTGATTTTATTGTAACTCTCGACTCTTAAAGAACCATACAAGACTATACATTGGAAAATTGTTCAAGATTGCCTCTAATCTATATGCTTCTAAGAACTCTACTTGATGTTATAATTCAGGCATTGTCTTCGACGAGGGAAGGTGAATATGCTTTCACGAGGACTGGGCAGGTACGGTCAATTTTCTGTTCATCGGAGCCTCTACTCAATGATACATCTGGTCAAGAAGTGCATAATAAAGTCGATACTCAAATTCCTTTGGACCTTATAACTTCCTGTGTCGCCACATGGATCATGATACAGGTAATTAAATGAGACATGAAACGCCCAAAGCCTAGTAAAAAATGCTTTTTGAGCGAACGCCTTATACTCTTGTCTTTCAACTTGGAGACGTTTTTGAAAAATATGCTAACCACAATTAAATTAATATTCTTCAACTAGCAGACTTGTATTGAACAACAATATGCTCCAGCTGATGTGGCTCAGATATTAGATTCTGCTGTTACCAGCCTGCGTCCACGCAGTCCACGAAACCTTGCTGTTTACAGAGAAATTCAAAGGTGCATGAGAAGAATTAAGTCTCAGATTTTATGTCTTATCCCTACTTGATTCCTCTGTTCCTTTTCTCGACTTCTTGTATATAGGAATTAGGATGCTGAAATATTGATTCAGATTACATAGAAGTTTCGGCATGAAACAGCTTTTGAAATCGGATATTCCATTAGCAATAAGCCAATAATAAATAAATTGGAACTTTGATTGAAATTCAGGATAACATGTTTATTCGTCTATCTCCGCGGAATACTTATGCAAATTTAAAATATTTAATATTAGAATAATTGTTATGGCTAATTTAACCTCTAAGGTTTATTGTAGTGGCAATATTTGGTCTCTTATTTTTGTTGTTACTATTGACTTGGAAGAATAGGAATGGTAGAATTCTTGAGAATAAGCTGGTAGGGCCCTTTGGATATTATTTATTCTATTCAATGTCAAATAATCGCTACTTCCTTGAGTATATGCGCATAGACAAATTCAATTGATTTCATTCGTTGACATGATCGATTTAAATTGAATTGTGACGGGATTGTGAATAAGAAAGCAGGTGTCGCTTCAGTTAGAGGTGTTTTACGAGATTCATGTGTTATCGTTATTTTTTTTCCTTTGCAGCACATATAGGCCTTTGTGAAGTTGCTATTCCTATGGCTGATGAGGGCAATTATCTGAAAATCTTTATTGTATGGCAGCCTGGCTTTAAGGATCCATCGTGGAATCTGAATCTAGTATTTCTATCCAGTGGTTGACAACGAGCTGTATCCCTATGCATCCTTGTAGTACTTTGGTGTATGATATCTATCATTTAATAGAAGAGATGGTAATTTTGTTTGGATTCATACTCTCCATGAAATTAAGTTGCTATGTATTGATTAAATTTGGCCGATCCTTAGATAAAGGATTTTGTTCCTTTTTATATAAGACCATTTAGCAAATAGTTATTCCATCGTGTTTCCTCACGGATTTTAGTGTGTGGAGCTCTTTTCCCTTATATTCATTAAAAAATAAATAAATAAATAATTGTTATGGCCTTCTAACACAACAACCTGTTGAGATCCATTTTTTTTTTTTTTGTGAAACTGGTTGAGGTTTCTGACACATCAACCCGTTTATACCTAACATGACTTACCAAAAACCAAGTTGATGGTAGATTGATACAGTCAACTTGCCTACCTTTTTATGACTTAATTTGTATGTTAGTATTTCTCTTTATTATAATAATATATATTTAAATAAAATAGCGATACTTGTTTTTAGTTTCCGAAGACTCATGTTTGATATTATAATATACATTATTGTATATTTTATTTAGTCCCTAAACTTTAAAAATAAAAAAATAAAAATAAATAAAATAAAAAACATAATTGAGTTTTTAATCTTTTATAATTTTTGTAATCGAGTCCACGTGGTTAATTTGTTGTGACTTCAAACCATTACAAAATTAACACAAATTTTAAAAGATCGAATATCCGATTGCAATATTTTTCGGTTTAGAAACTTGATTTAAAATTAATAAAATAAATAAATAAGAGGCCTAATAATGTATGACATCATTGTATAAACACATTAACTAGGTGCAAACAGTCGTTAGTTTAATGATTTTTTTATAAAAAAAAACTATTGTACCTAAATAAAATATTTTAAATTTAAATTAATATATTTAAGCTTTGAATCAACATTACATGTAAAAACTTTTGATCCATTCTTGTGCAGGAACGAATGCCCATTTTACTTAACCCCGTCCCCCACCCCCTCAAAACCCAAAAAAAAAAAAAAACTAACAAATTTTGTAAAATAACATTAAAATAAAAATATTATCAATTCATGTAGATAATAGTAACATGTAAAAGTAAAGCTGATTGACATTTATGATATTTAAAAACAATGTTTACCGTCTTAGGTTTACGTTTATGTTCTTGAATTGTTCTGAAACATGTATAATTGTGAATATTTTCTATAAAAAATAATATTTATTATAAGATCATTTTTTTTTTGTAAGCTGGCTCCCCCAATCCTATCTATCTGGCTCCATCCGTAACCAAATAATAAATAACAAAACCTACTAAAAGTCACAGAACTCATGAACGAATTCCCGATTGTCAGCTGAAATCTGATGTCATAATGGTCTGGAAAAAGAAGACCCTTAAATTACAAGGATACAACCAACAGCATAGTGCTGTACAGGGCTATATATTTAATCATTTCCTACTCTTTATTTTTTTTACCCAAGGTTTCTCCTTGATTTCTGTTAGCACTGGACACATGAATTGCAAATGTGCCGGCACACAGGAGAAAACGATTCGGTTAAAAGATGTTTAAAGGAGAAAAACGATCCTCAATTTACATAATTTTCTCTGTATCCTAGAAAGCATATGATACGAGGGCAAAAGCACCAAGGACTCTGAAAAGTAAGGAGGTCAGAAATAGAACAAACGAGTCCCTTGCAATGCAACAACCACCGCTATAATATAATCCCAACTAGCCTAACAAGAATCTGAACACGTCACTTAAAGAAATTATCCCTTCCACACGCTTGCTGCCAGCCTCCACAACCACGAGTCTCCTAACCCCTGTGTGAGTAAAGTGAAGGAAATAAGTGAACCAAGACACTAGTGTCAATCTTTTAACCAAGAAAGCAGGAGCTTCTTAGTAAAGAAAATAATACCAGGATTAGCCAACCGCACCATCACTTCGTACAATGAATCAGATCTCAAACACATGTGACATCTGTGGCCGTGATAAAGCCCATAAGGTGAATTTGCATCTTGTCCCAAAAGCAATGCCTACAACCATAAGTACAAATATTTAGATCCAGTTTCTGCTAACAAACAAATGCAATATCCATCACGTGGTATTTACCTGATGAATACTAATTTCATCGACAGATATCCGAGCATAAGCTTTATCTTTGGCCAATGCAGTAATATCACTGAAAAGAAAATAGGCACATTTTCATATATCTTGAGGAAACCTTTGAAAGTATACATGTGAAAATCATACACGTGGGGCAGAAAAAGGGGAAGAAATGGAAATACTACCTTCTTGAATACATGTCAAGCAATGAATCATTATCATCCACAATCGGTATTGAGCTAACATCAGCTGCAAAGAGAAAACATATTTGCTAAACAAATGTAACTAAGGTAATTATGTGGTACACTGTATATTATTATGTACTTGAGAATAAGGGTAACAATAAATCATTGTATTAGTTGATTTCGGTATAAAGAATATCTTTTTGCTGCATAGTTTGACACAGATTCCAATACGCATCTGTTTTACTCTCAACAATATACACAAAGGATACAGAAAGCTAGATAAAAATTACAATGCAAGCATTCTGACTTTTGCAACACTATTAATACTATGTACTAAATCATGAAAAAAAGAAGGGGGAAAAAAATCAGTTTCCATGGCAGCTATTCACTAAATATTATCCCTCTTGCCAAAAACAAAATAACAATCATAAATATGTTCATGAAATGACACTTTAATTTGGAAAATTCTAAGTGAAACATTGTACCATTCGATACACTAGCCATTGAAACTTAAGTTTTTTTATATTTTCAGATTTGAGTCCAACATGCAAAATATTTGTCAAACAAATTGATTGTTTCAATTGGTTTGTGTACAAATGAAAGGTTCGCCATGTGTGCACAAACCTCCCCTTCAATTGTGTGTTCCCTATCTTAATTGATATTGAAAGAAATACCCTTGGAGTGAATTTGAAGTGGGAACCCTTCGAGAAAAAAATTGTAGGGGGGAACAAACATAACTAACCAACCAGATCAAACACAAGAATGATCACCTTGAACAAACATAGACAGAGCAGCACCAACAGAAGCATTTGGGCTCAGCATTGCTAGTGGCCGTCCATTTGGATCCCCAACTTTAGGCATCCATGTACCCAAAGGTATTGAACCCACAGGAAGTTGAAGAATGGGCAAAGAACTCAAGGAATGTTTAAAATGCCTGCATATACCTGAAAATTAAGTCCATACATGAGTTCCAACTTCCAATCATTTATCTATAACTATAACCAGTTGACCCAGAATCTTACTTTTTAGTATTCCTGATAGGGATGCAAGATGTAGCAGTTGAGGAAATGAACCATCCTCTGAAGAAGAATGGATGATAGGAACGGTTGAAACCTTGTTTTGCAAAACCTTCAAAGCCACATCTTTTAGACATTCATGGGGTCCAGCCTGAAGATTAAGGGGGAGGAGTGGACAGCAAAAAGTCCAATCAGAAAAGACTCAAGCTCACCTCCAGTCCTTTTATAGATGGAGGGGAAATCTAGAAACAAAATCAGAATGAAGCTCTAGAGTAAATGCAATTTCTTCAACTACATATGTTAAATCATCATCAAGTATATGAATGCAAAAGAAGCCATGGCGATTTATATTAAACAAAATACTAAGCAGTATATAACAAAAGAAAAAACCAGCAACTGGGAAAAGCAATGGAGCAGAAGCATGACCTAATTAATTGATAAGAGAAAATCACGAGAAAATCTACATCTGAATATTTCTAGAAATATACCAAAGGATCGTGAAATGGTAGCTGACCAGTTCACTAAAAACTAGGTGCTCCTTTTATGGGGAATACAACAACAAAAAGCCTCATACCACTAGGTGAAATCAGCTACATATCGGTTAAAGATCAAATTATCAGGGAGATTGGTCACCATGAGGTCACTCTCAACAATTTCCTCCAATGTCCTCCTAGGTCTCCCTCTCCCCGTTTTAACAAGGTTGAAAACCATGCAATCTATTCATGTCGCTGGTGATTCTAGTGGCTTTTTTTTTTTTTGCACATGTCCAAATCACCTTAACCGAGTTTGTCATTTTTTCATCAATCAGTATCATACCAGTATCTCCTCGTATACAATTATTCCACATCATGTCCTTCCTTGGGTGACTACAATCCATTTTTACACTCATTTTCACATCCACCTTTTTTCTCGTTCCTCCTTTAAAGTCTAACATTCATTACCATAACATATACCTGAACATATAGTGGTATAATAAGTTTTTCCTTTGAGCTTGGCAGGTACTTCATGATCACAACTAGTTAATTTTATGAAGAATACTGGAGAAAAAACACATATACGACCATAGAAGAGAAAACTCAAAAAGAACAAGAAGCTGCCTAAAACATTCATGCCTGAATGGGTGATCTTTTGTTAATAGGAAAGTATTGTTTCTTGAAACCACTTTAAGAGGGAAGGGAAAAAAACTTCTGAAAGAATAAAAAATGCTGTTTGCACTTTTTCTAAGAGCTAAAAATTTTTAACTAAAGCAATAAACATACTGTGTAAACACTTCAGCTTCAGCAAAAAGCTCATCCAAAGTCCAAACACTAAAAATTGGCAGTCAGAAAAATATCTGTTGGGCTAGAGCCAACTATTAGATCAAAGGAAGTCCAAAAAAATAAACATTTAAAAATATTAGCAAAAAGTCTTAATTTGCCAATGTTTCACATTCACATAAGTTTTGGGGTAGTCAATAGCCATCCAAGCCATAATGTGGCTCCACCCTTGGCTTCCACTTAAGGCTCAAATCCTAAAAAGATAGCATAGCAATACTTAGGTCTCCTACAGGCTGCAACTAGCTATAAAAGAATCCTTTTCCCCATCCACCACAACACGAGAAGGAAATGAAACTTAAAGTAGTTGATAGTATTCCATAATAAAACAGGGAAATTCTCATTCACATATACTGCAACATGTTTATCATCTCCCTACAACACTTCCTATATATGACTATTGCATACATTTTAGACACATGACAAAAACAAACTTTTGTTTCTAAATTCTAGTCTGATTTCTAAAATAAGATACTGTTTCGCTGCTTTTTGTTCACATATGTACGCATGTATGTGCACACAATCTCAGTTTGGTTCAGTACACATTCTTTGGCTTGAAAGCTCAGGCCATGAACTAAAATTGTACATTTTTTTCTTAAAATCAAACCAAATGAAACTCATGCACCAAAAAAATGTAAATTGAACCAGTGGTATATACCTACATCTAAAATGTCTTACAAGATATTCATATTGTCTAGGACTTAATACTCATCAATTATGTTGCAAATGTATTCCTGAATATGTCACAGGTTACAACCCTGAACATGTAAAATGTTGACAATCTTACACAGTATGATATTGGAAGAATAACTTAGAAAACATGAAAATTTTATCACAACTTCTGATGAGCACTTACATGAACAAATCGCCAAGGATATGATCCCCCATTACTATCAAGTGTTCTGTATTGTTGTAATTTTCCCTCTTTCCAGGCTGCGATAGTATGAGTCTCGAGTTGTTCTTGAGTCAGATTTGAACCATGACTCCCCAGCTGAAATTATGCTTGTTACACAACTATTGAATTCACAGAAATACGCACCATGCATTCCATTATAACAGTAGGCTATGAATCATATATTAGATACTCAAAAAAGTAACAATGAACAATCAAGATGTCGACAAGAAGGTTCTTAAACCACATACATATGTAACATTGGAGGAACAAGACGATATCTGCCTAAGACATAAGCATCAGAGATTCCAGAATGGAAATACTTGTAAAGCTCTCTCCTTAAAAAAAATATCTTTTAATATTTCATATTAGCACAAATTATCTAATAGCAATTCCATAAATGATTTATTATTAGCCTAAAACCCATTTGTGCCTAGCTGTTAAGTAGCTTAAAATATCAATGCTATAAAATTACTATTTGTACGGTGCAAATCATGACTTTTACCAAAAACTGGCACAGGAGAGTTGCATAAATGATTTATTCCCCACAAACCTCTTTCAATATTAGAATGAAGTCCATTGCACTAAGGACTCCAACGAACTGGCTCCTGCAAAAATCCCATAGTGGTGCCATAGATACACCCTGAAAGCAGATTGCATTACAATTCATACAAGGTAACAACTCAGACATGCAGATGGGCATTCCTTCCATGGACATGGGTGTGTGCCCTCATGTAAATCGAAAGGGATAAAAAAAAGTCATGGTAATAAATGGAGTAGAGAAGCGGGGAAAACCTGTTCATATAGAACATGGAATGCTTGTTTAACTGGTAAATTCATATCCAAGGCAATGATCTGCAATTGTAACAAACCAATCAAGAAAAATGAGCTAAAACAAAATAAATTTCAAATTCTTATTGAATGAGGAGAGGGAAAATTGAGAAGGTAGAAATATTCAAACCTTCCCTGACTCTGGAAGCAAATCATATGCAGTATGTGTGGATAGGAATTCGGATATACGGTGGCGAGAGGCCTCCAGATCAGACACAGGCATCCTGGGATTAGCTTCCTGGGTAAAAAAGTGTTGCATTTGAAATAAGATTATATACAAGAAAAATTAAGATATCTAATTTTTCAAAGCAAAAAGAAGACTAGAAGATTCAAGACTTTTCAGCATCATTTTTTTTTCATTTGTATCAAAAAGTTATCATAGAGGGAATAAAGGAACTTTACACACAGCCACAGCCACACATTACGAGTGTGTTGGATAATTATTTCTTCTAAATACCTGATAAATCTACCTTACAGTTAACTCTGACTTTAGTAATATATTAAACTGGAATTTTACAGTCACATGTATAGAACTACAAATGCATACATTTTTTTTGCATGAAATGAACCCCACGTTGAAGACAACAATAATCAAACTTATGTTAAAAACATAGCATTAGTGATGCAAGGGAGAATCCACTCCGAAAAGCAAGTCTGTAAAGAGGGGAGAGCCTTTATATATTATATGGAAATTCAGTTGCTACCACAGAGCCAATGTGGGATTCAAGCTCCTGTGTCATTTCTTTAGTGTTGGAAAGAAAAGTCCATTCACACAGGAGGAGTCAAGCTCCTGTGTTGATTAGAATACTATACAAACACTTGAATATAACAATAGCAAACAGGGAAAAAGCGAGAAGGGAGAAGAAACTTACCATATTGTCAACCTCCATGTGGGATCTACCAGGTGCTTCAGTATTTAAGGCAGGTAAGATATCTGGTTCTCTAAATAAACACATAGTATTGACTACTCCATGGGTCCCACTTACAGATGGCTGCTGCTCATCATGCCGCCATTCACCATCTACATTAAATTTGTACTGCACATAATTGGAAACAATATTATTACTGTCAGTGTGAATCAATTATCCTTGCCATATTGCGGAGCAGTATTTTAATATTTCCTAAAATATCAGATATCATATCAACAAGGTGAATTATATCAAACATACTAACACTGTGCGTGAATGTAAGGACAGTAAAATACTGCACAGATAAATGGAATATAAAATTATTATCTACTTGTTAGCGCATGTCATAATGGAACATTTCATAAAAATTAGCATAAACAAATCTAAATGTGACGATAAAATTGTAAGCATATAAGTTATCCTAATCAATATTTGTTCCATTATAAAACAAAATACAAACCCAACCTACCATATATTTTCAAACTTTTTTTTATGTGTACAATAGTCGCACTGAGGTTAGAAGTGACTTAGAATCTATGACTTCATGCTTACTATCCCAATCTCTCCACCACTAGGCCGACCCTAGTGATTCTCCCTTTTTTTTTTCAATCTAGTAATCAAAATTTTTAGATCTCCTGCAAAAACGAAATTATTTTGCATGGTCAACTAGATGCTTCAAAAAAATTTAGATCTCCTGCAATAACAAAATTTTGCATGGTATCATGATATCATCGAGTACATCATTACTCATTAGTCTAATCTACCATCTAGTTGACCAACCATCCTGCTTCTGAGAAAACAAGCTTGCATGACTTCCTCCATGGTAAAAATGACACAAATTACTCAAATGTTGTCATTTCAATTCCAACCATCAATGTTTACTCATTCACTCATTCCAACAACTCCAACAGGGGCAAGACCAACTCTCATGCCTTCCATGAAGGCCATGCCAAATTTTTACCCATCAATTAGTGATGCAAAACAAACCCCAAATGAAAGCTGAAAATCATCATGAAGCTCCTTATTCCTTTCTGCAAAATCTAAATTAAAATCACAACCACACAAGTTGAGTCTTAAAGTAATTAATTTACAAGCTCACTCCTCCTTTTGGTTTTCATTTTCCTGGCAACATGGACACAAACACAATTTGACGAGCTGGTTCCCATACACTGACCATCAGGCACATACATACATACAAGTAAACAAAGTAAAAGCATCTATCACACAAGGGATCATTTCCTCATGTTAGCCAACCAAATTCAGAGGCCAAACAACCTGATGATGTCCCGGCATTAAGTTACAGACAACTTGAAACACAGCAGGGCATCCCTCCATCGGAGACATAGCTATATGGTCCGACCATCTGTGTACATACAAGTCACCATTAGTAAATTAATTCCCATTCCTAACACTAGAAAAATGAGAAACCACAAAAACAATCACATCTATCACGCTGCATGACAAAGAAGAAGGATCATAACAGCAAGTAGCGTTTTAATAAGTAACGGAATACCTCGTGAAGGAACCACTAAGAAACACCCTGGTTCCCCCATAAGGCCAAACAAAGCGCTGAGGAATCAAAACTCCACTCCCCTCACTTGCCGTATCCGCAACTGAAGCAAACATTTCCCCCAGAAATTCGACCCCTAAAATTCAGAGCAACTCTCGAACTTGGAACAGAGGCACGAATCTGAACAACCAACGACGGGAATCCTCGGAGCAGAGGACCCCCTCTCCTCAAGAACGGAACATGCAGTGCACCTTCACAATCAACACCACACTCCTAATTGCAATAATAGCGAAAACACGAGCAATGTTAATCGAAACCTCTTGATCGACAATTGACCACCTGAAAAATCAACGAATTAGAGTGACGTCAATTGGAAAAACAAAAAAGAGTAATCCAAAGCACCATTGAGTTCCGAAAGGTGAGTACAATTTGTGTGCAATCCGTGACGGAAAAATGCGCGGAATTAGCAGAAAGGGATTTAGGTCAAAAAGGGGAGAGAGAAAACGATGTATGTGATGCAGCGAGAGAGAATGGAGGAGGGCGGAAGCACTAATTAAATATAAATGATTAAAAAGTAAATAATAAAAATGGAGGCAGAGGCAGAGAATAAAGGGAGAGAGAAGAGAAAACAGAGGGAACACAAATGCAATGCAGTGGGCAGTAATTATGATTTTTGTGATTCAGATTCAAACACACCCCCAAACACAATTTATACAATATTTCCATTTATTAATTCCACACTTTTTCTTAAATAATTATTGATTTTAATTTATAGAGACCATAGAGTTCCAAAAACAAAATAATAATATACTTCATTAGATATATATAATTTAGTTATTACATGTCTGAACATTGTCAATTTAGTGTTTATGTCTTACATTAACCTTTAACTTTTATTTGGTCTCTATATATACGTAGGAAATTCTTAGTTTGGTCTTCATACTAAGACTGAGTTAGGAATGTATTATTCGTTCATTAGATCAAATTAAGTACTAAATTAAGAATGTATAAGAGATTTAATGTAACAAAAATTAAGTCGATAACATGTATGCATATAAACACGTTTAATAAATTTGTTATTGTTAGTATAAAAATCAATTTGAGAAATTACAACACATACAAAGAACATAATTATACATTTAATTAATATACTTTTTTATCGCAATCAATATACTTTTATTTGATAGATATCACATATATTTTTTAAACTAATAAATGTTATTTAAATCAAATAAAATTACTATTACCCACACGTTCTCTTTATGAACATTTAATAAAGCTGTCGGAACTTAAAATCAAACTCATTTAGTGAACTAACATATTTTTACGTCAATTAATTTGTGCGTTAAAAATAAATAAATAAATAATGCAATTTGAAACTTTAAATTAACATATATAGAAAGGTTTAAAAAATATATGAAATTTTTATCAATTATTACCCTGTTTAATAATTTTTAATTAAGTAAATTTTTCAAAATATATTATTAGACTAATAATTTATTATGTCTATATTATATATATATAATTTTATATTAATCTAAATTGATTTAATACTTCATTATTATATAACAGATTTATTGTAGTATATACATTTTAAAATATACTAAAATATGAATATTTTAAATATTTTTAAATTATTGTTCAACTTTAATAAAATTTTATATAAACATATAAGGTGATATTACGTTATAATTTAACGACTGGATTGACAAAATTTACATTTAGTTAAAAATTATTTAACAGTGTAATAGTTGGTAAAAATTACATCAATGTCATTTGAACTCTCCTCATATGTGTAAAGAGAGAGACAAAAAATGATCCACTTATTCTAAAAGTAAGTTTAAGTAAACTTATTTTATTTAATAACTCGTGTTTTACATCAAATTTCAACGATCTAATCATTAAATTAAAATTTCTTAACACATAAATAAGTCTATAAATTTTTTAAAAAATTGAAAACTAAATAATACTTTATTTTGTCAATTCAAATCTATATAAAACATATTACCAAAATTGTTCACCGGTGGCAATTGAATCTTGGTAATATCTTGCCATATTTTTGTAATTAGTAAACATTACAATGATGGTAACAAATATCAAATTTAAGACTTTATGCATATTATATCAACTATAACATCTTAATAAAAATATTATTGCCGACACATTCTCTTTATAACATTTAATAAAGCTAAATATAATCGAAACTCAAAGTCAAACTCATTTAGTGAGCTAACTTACTTTTATATCAATAAATTCGCACATTAAAAAATGATGCAATTTTAATTTTTAAAATATATATGTGTATGTATGTATATATATATATATATATACATGTGTATGTATATGTGTATGTGTATGTACGGATGGTAACGGGGCGAGTCGGGTACGAGTTTCATGATACTCGTTCCCGTCCTTGCAAGTCAAACTTATCCACGTCTCCGTACCCGTACTCGTCGGGTATGTGATTTTCATCATCATCCTCGTCCCTGCCGAATATCGGCTATACCTGTACCCGTACCCGTACCGTAAAAAAATTTATTTTTTATTTTTTATAAAAAAATGATATTTTTAAATTATTTTTTTATTATATTATAATTATAATTAAGTTATTTTTCTATCTTATATTATAATAAATAATCACACATAAAAAAATATTAAAATTATTTAATATAGTTAAATTGAAAGTGGGTATTAAATTAAAAATGAAAACGGGGACGGGGACGGGACGGGTAAGTACATACTCGTACTCGTACCTGTACCCGATTTAAAGTATCGGGTTTTACCCGTACCCGGTCAAACCGGGTATTTCCCGTCAAAGTCAGGACAGGTTCGAGTATTACCCGTGGGTACGGGTATATTTGTCATCCCTATGTGTATGTGTATATGTGTGTGTGAAGAGAGAGAGGAAAGATCCACTAACTCCAAGAAAAAGTCTACCTACACTTATTCTACCTAATGATTTATATTTTACATCAAATTTAAATGATTAAACCATTGAATTAAAAAATCTTAATACATAGATCAAGTATGCAAATTATTCTAAAAGTTGAAAATTATTTGATACTCCATTTTATTAATTCAAATCAACATATAAAATATTTTTATGATTATCCATCGATTTAAATTAATAAAACAAAGTATTAAATAGTTTTCAAAATTTTTAAAATCTTATAGACTTATATATGCATTAATAATTTTTAATTCATCATTTTGATCATTAAAATTTGACATAGAATATAAATTATTGAGTATAATAAGTATTTATAACATCTTAATAAAATTACTACTGTCGACACGTTCTCTTTATGAACATTTAATAAAATTGAATATAGTCAAAACTTAAAAACTCATTGATTGAGCTAACACGCTTTTGTGCCAATCAATTCATACCTTAAAAGATAAAAAGATAATGTAGTATGAACCTTTAAATTAATATATATATATATATATATATATATATATATTATTGAAATTATCCATTAATGGTAATCAGAACTTAGTAATATTGTCATATTTTTGTAATCAATAAGAATAACAATGACAATAACAAAGATCAAACCTACAACTTTGTGCATATTACATCAATCTATAACATCTTGTTAAAAGTAAGAGTTATTGAATGAAATATTGTGTTGCGGGTTATTTAAGTTTTTGTGCTAATCGAATGTTGAGAGTGAAGTCTAAGCTATGCTTAGCAATGTTAAATATCAAACTTTGTTTGGTAATTTGTAAAGTCTACACTTTGTCAGGAAAGGGTTAAGTCAATTTGTTGCATAACCATGAATCATTTATGTGTTGTGTTGCTATATAGAATCCATGTATTTATATATCTTTTTGTTTAGATGTATTGGTTTATAAATCCAATTAGGAGGGTTATTAGCCCAAAGGGTTTTAACTTAGGGAAGCATGTTATTAACATGCGTGATAAGCGTTAACTATGGTCAATTATGAAATATTGGCTAGCTCGTATGAATCTTTGTCGTAACTAGTAAAAGTGAATGTTTAATTACTCATTATCACATCCATATAAAATTAAGAATACAAAAATTCATATATAAAGTGTTTTGAGTTGTGTATTGAAGTGTGTTTGTGTCGTGTATTTTAGTTTTCTATTTGATTTTTTTATATGTGCTTTAACATGTATAAAATGTATTCGCACACCTTTATTGTTTGTTATTTGGGGTAAATGACATGTCTAGGTGAGCATGTTGGATAGGATGATATTGCAAAAGATGAAACTTAAGTTTCATTTATTTAATATTATGAGATGATGTCATTAGTTATTGTTCCTACCGTAAGTCCGTTAGACCGTCACAGTTTTGTCCTTTAAAAGGCGTCTCAGTGGGTTAAGAAAGGAGGGTGTTTATAAACTACCCTTAGCCTCGACTCTTAGGCGATGTGATCCTTTAAAAGGCGTCTCGGTGGGTTAAGAAGGGAGGGTGTTTATAAACTACCCTTAGCCTCGACTCCTAGGCAATGTGGAACTTTTAGGCATAACGGAACAAGTCCCTCAGTCGATGCTAAGGGGCAAGAGTGGCCTAGGCCCTCCTTCTAGCGCCAAATGTTCCTACATTAAGTTCGCTGTCATCGTTAGGATGACCGCACCCGAGGTATTGTCCGCTTTGACACTCGTTGGGCCGTCACGATTTTGTCCTTTAAAAGGCGCCTTGGTGGATTAAGGAGAGAGGGTGTTTATAAACTACCCTTAACATCGACTCTTAGGCGATGTGGGACTTTAAGACATACTGGAACAGTTATGATATCAAGATAGGGAATTTAATTATTTTAATTATTTTTATAAATGTGTTTTTACTTAAAGTAATTATCATAGTTTTAATTTGTTTTGCATTTTAATGTCTAATTATTTTTTATATTTATATTTCTTTATTACCAAAGTTTTATTCGGCATTGAATGGTGAATGTGAATTCTTTTATCCACATTTAGAATAATGATTTTAATTATGAATGATTGTCTTTTATTATTATTTTTTTTAGATTAAATCATTTTGAGGTAAAAGAGTATCATACAATTTCACCAGTAAACCGATTTAAGTAGTTTAAGTTTGCCATAAAAAAATATAATTTAATTATATTGATGTTTTATATTATTATTTGAGTATAAATTATTGTAAATAATAAGAGTGTCAACTTTTGTAATATTTTAAAATATATGTATAATATATTTTAATTTGTCGATGATATGAAATGTTTTATTATAATAATATATAAAAAGATGATATCGTAAATAAATATGTTTTACTGTTCTTAATAGTATTAAACATCTAAAATTTTCAAAGAGTTTAATTTTGATATAATCAATATAATTTTTTTACATAAATTAATTAAAGTTATGTTAAATATTAGCTAATTTGCGTATATCAACAGTATCTATAATTTATATTATATTATTTTTCACACTTTTATTTCAATATACATATATGTAGATTTGTTATTTTAATAAATATTATTATATTTTATTATAATTTAAAATTAAATATTATATTATATGGTTAATTATGCTATAATTTTTCAAATTTGAGGTATGTATTTTTTGGTATCTAAAATTTAAAATTTGTACTTTTAGTCTCTAAATATAAAAAATTATTATTTTGGTCTATCAAATTTAAAATGTCATTTTGATATTGTAATTTCAAAAAATATTGTTTATATATTATTTGCCAAATTTA